GGGCCAGGCGCCTGGCTCCCCGTCTCCCGCTTCACCTCCTCTTCCTCCGGAGGCTACTTCTGAAACACCCGCCGGCCAGCTGGGGGGAAATGCCAGCTGATTGGCGGTTCCAAAATGGCTGCCCGCTGTTTTCTGGACGGATTCCTCACTTACAGAGGTGGCAAAAATGGCTGCCCCTATGGAGGATCCTCGCTGAACGGTGAGTTTTTTCCCCATAGGAACGAATTAAACAGGGTTTAATTCATTCCTTTGGGGGTTTTCTTTCCGTTTAGCGATGTTTTTGTATAGCGACGTTAATCCTGGAACGGATTAATGTCGCTATGCGGGGCACCACTGTATATGAAGCAAATTATATGTGAACTGTAATGCAGCAACATGAATCAGATAGAGCAGAGGTCATCAACCCCCGGTCCGCGGCCAATTGCCGGTCCGTGGCTTAAGCCCAACCGGGCCGCCAAAACAGATCTCCCACCCCCCCTCTGCACACACTCACCCCCGCAAAGGTTGTTTGCACCTGCGTGCACTCGTGCGCCTGCACAAACAGTGGTGTGGCCTCCCGGAGCCTGACTGGAAAGCTAGCAGCACGGAGGGACCCAGCAGCTGAAGACAGGAGCCTGCGAAATTCAAGTGGCCTCCCCACAGGACTCTGTCTCCAGCTGTGGGGTCCCTCCATGCTGCTGGCTTTCCAGCCTGGCTGGAAAGCCAGCAGCATTGGGAGACCCCATGGCAGGAGGCAGAAGCCCAGTGGGGAGGTCTTTTGAATTTCCCGGGCTCTATCAGCCAGGAGCGCAGGGCGATGGGGCAAAGTGAGGAGGACTCCACGCAGCCCTGACAGCCCGCCCACTCTCCCTTGCGAACCTGGTTCCCCTGGCTCGCCGAAAACGTGGGCATGTCACGCACAAGCGTGAAGGGTGTGCCACTCATGTGCACAAGCTTGACACACCCACCTGCAGTGGTGACACGCCCACCCATGAGCATGGGGGGTGCCCCCACCCCTGAACCGGTCCGCGCATGGAGTCTGTACCCCTCAACTGGTCTGTGGTCCGAAAAAGGTTGGGGAACGCTGAGATAGAGGACCAGTGAGGTGCATAAAAGAACAGCTCAGATGTAATCTAAAATTAAACAAATTAGAATTGCACTAATGTTTTGGCAATATGCCACAAAATATTGAATGAATGTTACTTTTCTTTGAAAGATCACCATTAAGATTGCTATTAAGTGAGTTCCTTCAATTTACTCACTCACTTTGCTGTTGTCTCTTCCTGGCTGCTTCTGCTGTTTTAATTTATGATACAGGTGTACCATAAATACAGTCATGGCCAAAAATATTGGCACCCTTGCAATTCTGTCAGAAAATGCAACCCTTCTTTCAGAAAATGGTCAGTTGCAAATGTTTTGGTGCTCACATGTTCATTTCTTTGGTTTACGTTGGAACAACACAAAAAAACAAAGAAGAAAAGTCAAATCTGATACAATCCCACATAGAAACCCAAAAATGGACTGGCCAAAATCATTGGCACCCTTAACTTAATATTTGGTAGCACCCCCTTTGAAAAAATTACTCAAATAAGTTGCTTCCTGCAACCTCTCTACTGGAATTTTGGACCACTCTTCTTTTGCAAACTGCTCCAGGGCCTTCAGATTTGAAGGATGCCTTCTCCCAACTGCTGTTTTGAGAAATCTCAACAGGTGTTCTATGGGGACTCAAATCTGGACTCATTGCTGGCCATTTCAGAACTCTCCAGGGCTTTGTTTGTAACCATTTCTGAGTGCTTTTTGAAGTGTGTTTCCAGTCATTGTCCTGCTGGAAGACCCAGGACTTCTGGTGGAGACGCAGCTTTCTTACACTGGCCACTACATTGTGCCCCAAAATTCTTTGGTAATCATCAGATTTCACAATACCATGCACACAGTCAAGGCATCCAGTGCCAGAAGCAGCAGAGCAACCCCAAAACATCTTTGAATCTCCCCCAGGTTTGACTGTAGGGACTGTGTTCTTTTCTTTGAATGCCTCATTTCTTTTTCTGTAAACAGTGCCATGATGTCCTTGACCAAAAAGCTCTACTTTTGTCTCATTCGTCCACAGTACGTTCTCCTAGAAGGAATGTGATTTTGTCACATAAGTTTTGGCATCCTCCAGTCTTGCTTTTTTATGCCTTTGTGTCAGCATTGGTGTCCTCCTGGGTCTCCTACCATAGCGTCTCTTTTCATTCAGATGGTGACAGATACTGTGAGCTGACACTGTTGTACCCTGTGTCTGCAGATCAGCTTGAATTTGTTTGGAAGTTAATCTGGATTCTGTATCCACCATTCAAACAACCCTTTGTTGTAATTTTTCAGTAATTTTGCTCTTCCATCCACGTCCAGGGAGGTTAGCTACAGTTCCATTGGCTGTAAACCTCTTGAAGATATTGCACACAGTGGACACAGGAACATTAAGATCTCTGGAGAGGGACTTCTAGCCTTGAGATTGTCAGTGTTTTTCCACAATTTTTTCTCTCACATTCACAGACAACTCTTTACACTTCATTCTATTCTCCATGCTCAGTGTCAGACACAACACAAAGGTTGAGTCAACTTTTTTCCATCTTAACTGGTTGCAAGTGTGATTACTATATTGCCCACACCTCTTACTTGAGACAGGTATGTCTAAATACAAATTGAAGGAGCATCACATGCTTGAAAAGCAATTATTTCTTACACTTTAAACAGGGTGCCAATAATTTTGGCCAGTGCATTTTTGGGTTTCTATGTGGGATTGTATCAGATTTGACTTTTCTTCTCTGTTTTTTGTGTAGTTTCAATGCAAACCAAAGAAATGAACATGTGAGTACGAAAACATTTGCAATTGCAACCATTTTCTGAGAGAAGGGTTGCATTTTCTGAAAGAATTACAAGGGTGCCAATATTTTTGGTCATGACTGTAGCACTGCTGTGGACAGTGATAGTAAAAATGAGTTTTGGATGCCAGGACGGGAAATTAAGTAATATTGGAATAGTTTTAAAAGCAGGGTTGTAAAGCAAGATATTGAAAGTTGGGAGGTGTCACTATAAGTCCTTCAGCACAATATTCCTACATTAGTTCTCCATAGAGGGAAGCTGGGAGATTTTATAGCTTATTTTACCTTTTCACCAATATGGTACATTGGAAAGAAATCATAAGTACCTTCAAATCCAGAAAAACAGGCATTGCCAACTCACAACATTAGAACCAGCTAAGAGTCCCTGACATTCTAAGGACTTGTAAGTTTATTGCATGGGGTTTCCTGGACCACAAAGCACCTATTTACTGTTTTTCTACTAAAAGTGGTCAAGGCAGTATGCAGTGTAAATACAGTTTTCCACAGGAGAGGTCCCTTAAGATCACTGCAGAGTTTCTCTTCTGCACCTGCAAACTGATCAGCGTACATAGATGGAGTTTAAGAGACTAGGTTCACCTTTTTTCAGTATCGGAACCTCCTTCTCCCCACTTACTTTCAGGTTCAGAAAGATGCAGATAGTCACCTTGTACAGTAGATGGTGATGAGTTAATTTTTAGTTTTTAGGATATTCTGCCATCAGTAATTTTCTTCTCCCTTACATGATAAAGGCCTGGAAATGTAAAGTACAAAATCAGGATTTTATTTTTTGGAAAAAACATATTGTACAAGGCTGAATCCAAATGTTTACCCAATACATGAAAATTATTACATTACTCCAGGTTTATCTTTCAAAAGTCTTCCCCCAGTGTTGTAGGTTGATATTTGTCAAGTTTAATGGTCTGCCATAAATTGAATTTTTATTAGTATTATATTCATTGATTAGCTCAAATTACACATTGAGAACATACATTTACTGTACAATAATTTCAGGCTGATGTGTTGTGCCTCAGAAGCAGGAATGGAAGACAGTCTTGTTTTATAACCTTAGGTTCATTTTTGACAAAAGGAATAAAGACAAATTAGGGCATCCTACATGTTAATTTTAAATCTGTTTCTGCATTATGTCTGTGGATCTTTATTTTAAATAACACAAGTCACAGGCTTAGCAATTCAGATCAGGTATTAGAGTGATCAGGTATTAACTGTTTCCCATGGTAAAAATCATACACACCAAAGTTGCTGCTGACAGATGCAAAGATAACATTTAACAGAAATGTCTGTGCTTTGGCCTTTAGCCACATATAATAGAGGAAGGGAAAGAGAGAGAGAGATTGGGATTCCATGTAAAATAAGTACTTTTAGTGATGTTCAGTTGAATGGAGTTTCAATTTAAGTGAACTCTGGTATTAAGCAGCACTTCAGCAGAGATACAATCTAAGGTGATTGTGATATAATCAAAGTAAAACTGATATATTCTATAATTGTTGTGCTGACTGTCAACAGAGGCACTGAAGTTAAAATTCTGACTTTCCTGACTTCTTCGTCTTGTCTTTTATCTAGGAGTGGCCACACATTGCTTGCCTTCTGGTTCTCTCGTCAAGAGGGAAAACTCAACAGACAGCAGACCATTGAACTGGGCCATCATATACTCAAAGCACATATTTTTAAGGTAGTAAGAAAATCATATAATGACATTTCCATCTTGGGTATTAGACAATTAATGGATAATTGTCTGAGGTCCCCTCTGGTCATTTACTCTGGTCATTTTGGTGGTGGGCCAAAGTGAAATGTATTTTAGAAAGGTGGGGTATACTGTCCTGCAGTGCTTGCTTTTTTTCTGCTGTGACCAGAGATCTGCAGGGTCTTCAGAGTGAGCCAAAAGGAGGAGGAAAAAAGGTTCTCACCTTCTCTCCCAAACCTATTTCCAGGTTTGGGAGATGGTGCTTCCAAACTTTGGGTTGATATTAAAGAAAATGTTCTATTGAGTATACAGGATAAAGAGGCATACTTTTTAGCTTCCTCTTCCCTTTGTATCTCAGAGTTAGCAACTGGCAATGAGAGGGAATTGATGTCCTGAAATGAAATTAATTTGTCCGCATTCGTTTCTCCCCACCCTCACCCTCATTTTAAAACTGTCGTAAAGCCAAGAACATCTGAACTGATTTTCTTATTCTCCTACCAAAGGTGAAAGATGGGCTATAGATCCCATATGAATGCTCTCAGAGCCCTTTAGAAAATGCAGGTTTAAAACCTTGAATGCAGGAGCAATTTGAGAAGACTCTTAGAATTTCCTGATGGATTCTGTATGATATCACCCAGTGGGCAAAATCCTGTTGTGTTGGGAAATTGTATGCTTTTACAATGTATATAGCAGACATTGTTTTTGGGCCCTGGTCAGTTTCCAGTAAGGATGATCATTAACCAGCTTTGGTATCTAGAATAATTTCCTGTCTCTGGGTAAATTGTATCAACTTACTTGTGTATTTAAAATATTATCTGTCTATGTTTACCCTGCTCTGTATTCAGGAATGTTTCCCCTGATTGTGTATTTAGGATTTACATGCCTCTGTTTACCGGCCCCTCCGTTTACCCTACTTGTGTACTCAGGATATTAACCGCCTCTGTTTAGAATAGTTTTTGATTAACTTGTTCAAAGGCAGATCCTGATAATAAACGGGGGCAAGGCGACCAGGAGGAGAGTTCTCACTGAACAGCATGCTACAGAGCACGCTGTTTATTCCATCCGGATCCCGCCCTGCAAACCACACTCGAGTGCCCCGTCTCTTCATTTTCCCCTTTGCTGGTCAAGGGGGAGGTTTCATCTACAAATTCCTGCACTGAGGTTTCATCTGCAAGACCCCTACTTCCCCTCATCTTGCAGATCCCAACACTGTTGCTTAAATTTGTGCTGGTATAACTTGGATCAGGTGCCAGAAACATTTACTTAAACATGATTAAAAGCTTCCTATTTTTCCCTTTCAGGTTCTGAGGCTTCATAAGGCTCCTTTTTGACCTGAAGAAGCCTTTCAGAGCCTCAAGATGTGAGGGGGGGACTTTAATAGTACTGTAGAAAAATGCTGTCGGCAGGATAAGGACTGGCAACAGCAATCAGGTGTTTTATTTAAAAGAATTGGGTGATTCTAAGGCAGGCTCAGAATCAGGAATGTGGGGAAAGGGAGCTTTTAATCAATGTTAATTAAATGTTTCTTGTGCCAATCCATGTTACACTGACAAAAAAGTTACTCCAGTAAGATTTTGGAGTCACGTCAGGCTGAAAATGTTGCAGTCTGAATCAGGACTGGCTGTTTCCTAGAGTAATGGTCTTGCATTTGTGTCAGAAGCAATCCAGTGGTGCTTCAGTGGAAGGATTAGCCAACAGGATGCTGGTATTGTGCAGGGGACGCCCAAATGTGTTCATACTTCTCACATTCTTCATGGAGGCTCCTTCTGGTTCCTTGGAAACGAGATAGTTCAGTTGTCAAAAGGACCTCGGGAGTAGGCATTATTGATTGCGCACCTCTTGATTTATGTAGTGTATTCTTTTCAGGTATTCGGCTAATAAAATATAAGAGGGAGTAAACAAGATTTTGAATTAAGGATGTAAATGTTCATATACAGTATTTCATTCTTGGAAGTAAGAAAGAAAAAGTCAACATTTTCCTTCTCATAAGTTTTATCCTGGCAGTTTTTTGCAAAACAAACAAACAAACAAAAAGCGGAGGCATAGTTTTACACATGAGAACTTCTATTTTGTATGAAACTCTTATGTTTTGGACAAAATGCAAAGGGATTTTATATTTAAAACAAAAAACCAAAAATGCAACTGATTACTAGTGTGAGTTGCTGACAAAAATCCTGGTATTTTCATTCTCATCCAGGAGTACAAAATATCTCAGTAGCTGACCATTTTTTTCAGTAGGGTGTCTCGGTATGTTGAGACCCTGTTTACTTGAGAAAATTGTGAATATTCATTACATCCTTAGACTAAATATTCTTCCAGAATACTTCTAAAAGAACAAAAAAAATCAGATTCTGTTGCTTCCAGCAGGATTTTTTAGCAAAGCACATTCAATGTCTTGCTACATTTATTATACTAGAATAAATGTTCCTTATCCAGTGGTACATATTTTTTAAGATCCGTCTACTTCTTTGTTTTTTCCTCTGTTTTGTCCAAAAATTTAATATATGGCTGACTATAACTAAGGTAATGGAGAATTTCTTACTTCATTGTGAGGAATTGACATTTAGGTGCCTTTTTCCTTGTTGTGATGATTCATGGCTTCAGGTACTCTGGAGTTCTTACTAATATGGTAGATGGGGTGGAGAATATTTGAAAAGTGTCAGACAGAATAGTGAGAATGTGTCATATAACCTCATTGTTCTGTTATCATATAGCTTAAATATAGGATTTCAAACATCCTCTCCAAAACTCTTGTTTTGCCTTTGAAACTTCCCTTTAAAATTTACTTTGGATCCTTGACAGTAGATTTAAGGTTACAGTGGACCCTCTGCTTACGGAATTAATCTGTATTGGAAAGGTGGCTGCAGGTCGAAAAGTCTGTAGGTCGAGTCTCCATTGACCTACAATGCATTGAAAACCAATTAATCCGTAACTGACCGTTTTTGTTCCGTTTTTCTTCCATTTTGGTTTTTTTCTGATCTGTAAGTCGATTCTCCGGCTGCAAGTCAAACCTAAATTTTGTGGCCAGAGAAGTCTGTAACTCGAAAAGTCTGTAAGTCGAGCCGTCTGTAAGTCAACGGTCCACTGTAGATTCTCTATATGTTAATAACATGCAAAGGAAAACCAGTGGTCTTAATGATGATATTGAAATTTTGTATTTTATAGGGGCTGAGTAAAAAGGTTGGGGTTTCCTCTTCAATTCTTCAAGGGCTTTGGATTTCATACAGTTCAGAAGGTCTTTCAATGGCACTGGCCTCTCTGCGGAACTTGTACACCCCAAACATAAAGGTACTGGAGAGACATCTCAGAACACAATTATTATTATTTTTAATGAGAAAACTAGGAGCAAAAAACAGTTTATTCTCCTGCCTTGCAGGCAGGAGCCTGGCAGAACATTGGAGGCAATGGATTCACAAGTCCTCTGATCTCCATGGGATTTCCCTAACCATCTATATTGGAAATGGGGTCACATCCTAATATGTAGCCTATCTAAGGCTATAGAGAATTTTTTCCCAATATCCCTCCATCCTTTCATTTATTAAAATTTTGACTAATCCAGGCATTCCCAAGTAGTGTGGTTGGGCACACTAGTGTGATTTGGGTCAGCCACCACAGGGTTGAAAAAATAAACAAAATAAAATTTTT